GTGCGAAAATGAGGGAAAAGGCGGGAAAATGTGGGAAAGGTGGGAAAATGAGGGAAAGGTGGGAGAAGAGGGAAAAGTGGGAAAAGGCAGGAAAGGCAGGAAAATGTGGGAAAGGCGGGAAAGTGTGGGAAAAGTGGGAAAATGTGGGACAGGTGGGAAAAGCGGGAAAAAGAGGGAAAAAGTGGGAAAATGAAAGAAAGGTGGGAAAAGGAGGGAAAAGGTGGGAAAAAGTGGGGACAGGGTGGCCGGGGAGAGGTGACAAGGATCAAGAAGGGGCGTTGGGACATTCCAGGGGGGCGGGAGGTCCCCTGGGGTGGTGGCACCTCCTCAGGGTGGGGACAAATCCAACCAAGATAGGGACAAATCCCCCGGGATGGTGTCCCCTCCTCGGAACGGTGACAATTTCCCTGGCACGGTGACAATCCCCCCATGATGGTGTCACCCTCCTCGGAATGGTGACAAATCCCCCTGGCATGGTGTCCCCTCTTTGGGATGGTGACAATCCCCTTGGGATGGTGACAATCCCCCCATGATGGTGACAAATCCCCCAGAATGGTGACAATCCCCTCAGGACGGTGTCCCCTCCTCAGGACGGTGACAATCCCCTCAAGATGGTGACAAATCCAACCAAGATGGTGACAATCCCCTCGGGATGGTGACAATCCCCTTGGGATGGTGACAAAACCCCCAAAGATGGTGACAAATCCCCCCATGATGGTGTCCTCTCTTCGGAACGGTGACAAATCCCTCTGAATTGTGTTCCCTCCTCAGGATGGTGACAATCCCCTCGGGACGGTGACAATCCCCTCAAGATGGTGACAAATCCAACCAAGATGGTGACAATCCCCTCGGGGTGGTGACAATCCTCTTGGGACGGTGACAATCCCCTCAGGACAGTGACAATCCCCTCGGGATGGTGACAAATCACCCAGAATGGTGACAATCCCCCACGATGGTGTCCCCTCCTCAGAACGGTGACAATCCCCTCAGGATGGTGACAAATCCCCCAGAATGGTGACAATCCCCCATGACGATGTCCCCTCCTCATGGCAGTGCCACCTCCCCGCTGTCACTCACGTGTCCCGTTCCCCGCCGCTGTCCCCGCGCTGTCCCCGCTCTCCGGAGGGGCCGTGGTGGCCCCGGGCCACGTTGTCACCGTGTCCCCATCCCCGGGATCTCCTGTCCCCGCCGTGGTGGCCCCGGGCTGCGTTGTCACCGTGTCCCCATCCCCGGGGTCTCCTGTCCCCTCCGGTGTCCCCTCGGTGACATTCCCTGACCCCTCCTCCTGCAGAGCTGCCAACGGAATTGGTCAATTCCTGTCCCCAAAATTTATGGGGTCATTGACCCCCTCAGATTTGGGGACATCGCCAGGGTGAAGGGGCAGGAGGGGCTCCAAAAGGAAATTTGGGAAAAGAGGGAAAAAAAGGGGAAATTCCGGGAATTCTGAGAGGTTGGGGACAGGACCCGGGAACGGCTGGAGCGGGATTTGGGGTGGAAATCTGGAAAATTCTACCCCAGAAGGGATTTGGGATGGATTTTAGGGAAAACTCTGCCCCCAGATGGATTTGGGATGGATTTTATGGAAAATTCACCCTCCAGGAAGGATTTGGGGTGGATTTTAGGGAAAATTCTGCCCCAGGATGATTTCGGGGCACTGGAAAAGCCCCCAGGAATGGCCCCAAAATCTTCAGGAGGGTTTGAAGGATGTTCCCGAGGACAGAGAGGGATTTTTTTTGGATTTTGGGATTTTGGGATTTTGGGAGGGATTTTTTTTTGGATTTTGGGATTTCCCAGGCAAGGTTTGGGGTGGGAATGGATGATTTGGGTGGTTTTGGGGTCGGAATGGATGATTTGGGTGGTTTTGGGGTCGGAATGCATGATTTGGGTGGTTTTGGGGTCGGAATGGATGATTTGGGTGGTTTTGGGGTCGGAATGGATGATTTGGGTGGGTTTTTTCCATCCCATAATGCTCTGAGGGGGTGAGGAGCAGCAGAACCGTGGCCCCACATCCTGTGGGGTTCACACCTCACCCCAACAGAAAAAAACCCCCCCAAATTTTTGTCAAATTCTCACGGAAATAGGGGGGAGTGGTGAAACGGGGGCTGCTCTGAAACCCCGGAGGTTTTGGGGTTGTGCTGAAATGGGGTCCTCAGTCAGAGAATTGTAAAATATCTCAAAATATCCCAAAACATCCCAAAATATCTGAAAAAAAATCTGAAAATACCCAAAAATATCTGGGATGGTTTTGGGGTTTTGGGATGGGTTTGGGTTCAGAAGGGTTTGGGGGTTTGGGATGGGTTTGGGGTTTTGGGAAAGGTTTGGGATTTTGGGATGGGTTTGGGGTTCTGGGATGGGTTTGGAGTTCTGGGATGGGTTTGTGTTCAGAAGGGTTTGGGGTTCTGGGATGGGTTTGAGGTTCTGGGATGGAATTAGGTTCAGAAGGGTTTGGGGGTTTGGGATGGGTTTAGGGGTTTTGGGGTTTTGGGAAGGGTTTGGGGTTCTGTGACGCCTCAAAAAACCCCAAAATGCCCCTTGGGGGCACAAATGGGGCCCAACAAAGCCGGGATGGACCCGAACTGGAGCTTCCTCCTCTTCCTCCTCCCCATCCCATCCCATCCCATCCCATCCC